GACCAAAATGCATCTTTCCTTTTTCTATTTATTAAAAGCAAAAGCAACCTTGTTATATTGGCTATACCATTGGCTAAATTCAATGTTTATTCTATTAACTTGTCATTCAAATTAGCGACTAAAAGGTTTATATTCTCCAAACTTGTTTATAAACTGTAAAAAGCATATTAAAATAGTTTATCTATCAAAGTTTTGTTTAACGAAATTTTACATCAACGCCTATATTGTAACATGTAAATGTCTTATGACCTAAGAAAATCGCATATCAATGAATAGAAGCAGTGATCAGTAGGCCAAAAGAGAAAATTTTGATGACCTAATATGAGAAGAAAGTTAAGGAAACAAAGGAATAAGATTCATTTTCAGTTAAAATATAATTTTTTGAGCCACTTGGTATCCGCAAAATAGCACATGGTTAATAATAGACCAAATACTAAATTTTTAGCCCTATACTTCAGATGGTGGTAATACTTCATGGGATGTAGATCCTTTATGGACACCCTTTTTGGTATCACTCTTCTCCTATGGTTGACTTGTAGCTTTTCCTTTTTCCTCAAATAATTTTGCTCCTTTTGACCTCTAAAACTAAGGTTTCTGCTTGACTGAGGCTCCGTATCATATTCTTCCAATTAATAGCATAATGCAGTCTTAGCCGGACCCATATGTTTTCAGCAAACTTTTTGCTATTATTTTAAAAAATATATGGTCCTTATTCTTTGATACAAGTAGTTGATTCGTTTAAGATGAAGGAACCCAAAAAAAAAAAAAAAAAGTTGTCAATATTAAAGGGAAACGTAGTTCTTACGAAGTTCATGCTGATATAATTGATGGTGACCTTTAACCAAAATTAGGTTTTGTTCATCATAATTCACATGTACAGATGGATCAATAGATTTTCTTCTCTCTCCATCAGAAGTATATTTATCAATTAGATGAGAATATGGGACAATCTAAAATAAATTTAAACAATTGGCGTCACCCAGTATTTTAATTAGCCATGTTGATCAGTGGTGCATGCGCTACTCGCACAATCTACTGTGTACTCGCTTCAAAGAATTTTTTTTTCAGTTTTTTAAAGAAAAAGAATGTGACTTTTATTCCGTTTAAATTGTATTAAATTACAAAATATAAATAATTGGATAAGAAGTCCATCTCTAATATTCTAAAATTCAACTTTTATTTAATAATAAATGTTGTACAATTTAGATCGTACAATATTTCAAAAAAAAAAAGTTATTACCATCTCTCTCATTCAAAAAATTGTTCTCTCAAGTGAATGAAGCGTATTATTAGCGACAAAATCTTCATTTTCTTCTTTGACATGGCATTATGGGATTAAGCAATCTAGTGCGGTGCACCATGGTTTCTTCGGCCGCTCCTCTTACCATTGCCTTTTGCCTCTGCTGCTGCTAGCATATCCCCATCTTTTCTGCTAGACTCCATGGCTCCACCCAATTATAAAAAGGGAAATTATTGATATTTTCATTTTTGGAAAGAAAAAATAATTGATACATTCACTGAAAAAAAAAAGAAAAAAAAGAAGAAGAAGATATATTTGACAGAACAAATGGGTTATGGGCCTAGAAGTCTATTTCTTTTAAGAAGTTTGGATATTATCCCAATTAAACCTGATAATTGTTAGACTTGGGGCCCAGAAAAGCTAGAATGTCTATTTCTTTTGGTGGGCCTTATCTGTGCCGTTCACCAAGCCCTTTAGTAGCTCAGCACTGATCAGATGAGAAGATGAAAAATGGGAAACCAAGCTACCCCCAATCAGAACCTTCATTTTTCCATCATACCACAATCATGTCCTTTCTCGCCTAACCGCTACCTCCCTGGCCCTTTCTATCCAACACTTTATCAACTCCGATGCTCCTCCATTCCTTGGCCAAATGACTTGTTCCCACATTATCAAATCTGGGTACTCACTGAATGCAAGTTATTTCCATTAAACTACTGATTCTGTATTGGAAATGCTGTTGTTAGATACACGCGCGCCAAGAATTTGATGGATTGCCTCACTGAACCCTACCTGTTTTTAATTGTATGATTATTGGGTACTTGAAACATGGACTAATCAAGGAGTCACTTGATTTGGTTCATAGAATGCTACTAAGAGGCCTGATGGGTTGATGTTCTGGATTAAGAGTTGTCTCCTCCTTCAAGGAATTTTATTGTCTAGTATAGTTAGGATTAAAAAAAGAATAATGATAGATAGAACAAAAATTTAAGACTAAAATTTATAAATAATACGTGACTTTCATGTTATTTAAAAGATTAAAAAGTGAATTTTTTATTATTTAATAATTAATTATTTTATTTTATTTTATTTATAATATTATATATATTAATT